AAAGTCCTTTTGGCCCGCTGTTTCTCTCGCGGTGTGTGCTTCATGTTGAATTTGTAACCTTTTCGCTGCTAGACGGAAACCAAGTGACTGCAAGCCGAACCTACACCCACTCGAGACTCATCAGTTGTACTCGAGACTCATCAGTTGTACTCGCGACTCATCAGTTGTACTCGAAAGATTAGCACCCTCCATCTGGAGTTTAAGTGTGTACACCCCATTCGTGGGGAATCCTCGGGTGTACCCATTGTGTGACCCCGGGCCGGCTCTGTCGGAAAATTTGACCTCAACGTGCTTATCATAGATCAGCGGAATTTCACATTTAACCAGGAACGAGGTTTCACTAAAGGGAAGACAGCCACCTCTTCATAGCTACGTTTCACCCTTCGCTCTTTTTTCTCGCCTTCGTCTTCCGCGTGCCCGTCTTCTGGTTCTTCGTCGCCCGCCTAGGGATGGCTTCTCGTTCTCTTCCTGCTGCCTTTCGTGACCCGCGCGTTCGCCCTCCTCCTGTTCGCCCGCGTAGGGATGGCCTGGTTGTCCTCGCGTTGTTCACCTTTTTCCTCGTCGTCGTCTTCGTGTCTGTCTTCCTGTTCCTACTCCTCTTCTTCCTCACGTAGTTTGGCTTGACGTCTTCTTCCCCTTCCGTTGCTATTTCGTGTTCGTCCTCTTGGCCCCTGTGTGGGATTCGTCGTCTTCCTCCTCGAGCTTTGGTCTTTATCCTCTCTTCCTGTCTGGGCGGGATGCGTCGCCCTAAAAACGCATACTACTTCCCTTTCCCTCTTCCTTTTCCTTTTCTCCTTTCTCCTCTCCTCGGGCGGGCTGCGGCGCCCTAAATACGCGTCTCGCTCCCTTTGTCTTCCTCTTTTCTCTCCTTCTTCTTCTTCTCTCCCCCTTGCGTTTCTTTCTCCTTTCCCCGGGCGGGCTGCGGCGCCCTAAATACGCATCTCGGCCCTTCTCCTCCTTTCTCTCTTTCTCGCTCTCTCCTTCTTTTCTTCTTCCCCTTTCACTACTACTTCCGGTTGTTCCTCTTCGCCCGTTTAGGGATGGCGTGTTCGTGGTGTCGTTCTTCAACTTCGCGGTGCTCTTTCTCTACAAGGTTTAGGAGGGTTTCTGGACTGTTTGGGGTTCTTTGCCCTCGGCGGTGACCCTAAACTCGGTTTCCCGTTTTTCGTGTTTCTTGGTTGGGGTTTTGCCCGCGGAGACCCAACGTGGGGCCTTTCTGTTCCTTTTGGGTTCTTGCTCCGTTTGTTTTCTGTTGGGGTCTTCGTCCGTCTTTCGGGCGCTTCTTCTTCCCCCCGAAAAAAGGGACTTTTCGCCCCTCACTGAGGGGCGTGTGTGTGCGGAGTGGCAGAATACCCTGCCACCATACAACTGCAGGGGGCAGGAGCACAATGGCAAGTCTCCTGCCAACGAAGACACTTGCCATCGGTGGTGATACTGGGACTGATCATCCCAGCGTACCTGCGCAACTCGTGTGATTCAAAGTCCTTTTGGCCCGCTGTTTCTCTCGCGGTGTGTGCTTCATGTTGAATTTGTAACGTTTTCGCTGCTAGACGGAAACCAAGTGACTGCAAGCCGAACCTACACCCACTCGAGACTCATCAGTTGTACTCGAGACTCATCAGTTGTACTCGAGACTCATCAGTTGTACTCGAAAGATTAGCACCCTCCATCTGGAGTTTAAGTGTGTACACCCCATTCGTGGGGAATCCTCGGGTGTACCCATTGTGTGACCCCGGGCCGGCTCTGTCGGAAAATTTGACCTCAACGTGCTTATCATAGATCAGCGGAATTTCACATTTAACCAGGAACGAGGTTTCACTAAAGGGAAGACAGCCACCTCTTCATAGCTACGTTTCACCCTTCGCTCTTTTTTCTCGCCTTCGTCTTCCGCGTGCCCGTCTTCTGGTTCTTCGCCCGCCTAGGGATGGCTTCTCCTTCCTCCCGTTCTCTTCCTGCTGCCTTTCGTGACCCGCGCGTTCGCCCTCCTCCTGTTCGCCCGCGTAGGGATGGCCTGGTTGTCCTCGCGTTGTTCACCTTTTTCCTCGTCGTCGTCTTCGTGTCTGTCTTCCTGTTCCTACTCCTCTTCTTCCTCACGTAGTTTGGCTTGACGTCTTCTTCCCCTTCCGTTGCTATTTGATGTTCGTCCTCTTCGTCTTCCTCCTCGAGCTTTGGTCTTCATCCTCTCTTCCTGTCTGGGCGGGATGCGTCGCCCTAAAAACGCATACTACTTCCCTTTCCCTCTTCCTTTTCCTTTTCTCCTTTCTCCTCTCCTCGGGCGGGCTGCGGCGCCCTAAATACGCATCTCGCTCCCTTTGTCTTCCTTTTTTCTCTCCTTCTTCTTCTTCTCTCCCCCTTGCGTTTCTTTCTCCTTTCCCCGGGCGGGCTGCGGCGCCCTAAATACGCATCTCGGCCCTTCTCCTCCTTTCTCTCTTTCTCGCTCTCTCCTTCTTTTCTTCTTCCCCTTTCACTACTACTTCCGGTTGTTCCTCTTCGCCCGTTTAGGGATGGCGTGTTCGTGGTGTCGTTCTTCAACTTCGCGGTGCTCTTTCTCTACAAGGTTTAGGAGGGTTTCTGGACTGTTTGGGGTTCTTTGCCCTCGGCGGTGACCCTAAACTCGGTTTCCCGTTTTTCGTGTTTCTTGGTTGGGGTTTTGCCCGCGGAGACCCAACGTGGGGCCTTTCTGTTCCTTTTGGGTTCTTGCTCCGTTTGTTTTCTGTTGGGGTCTTCGTCCGTCTTTCGGGCGCTTCTTCTTCCCCCACTTTTCGCCCCTCACTGAGGGGCGTGTGTGTGCGGTGGCAGAATACCCTGCCACCACACAACTGCAGGGGGCAGGAGCACCATGGCAAGTCTCCTGCCAACGAAGACACTTGCCATCGGTGGTGATACTGGGACTGATCATCCCAGCGTACCTGCGCAACTCGCGTGATTCAAAGTCCTTTTGGCCCGCTGTTTCTCTCGCTGTGTGTGCTTCATGTTGAATTTGTAACGTTTTCGCTGCTAGACGGAAACCAAGTGACTGCAAGCCGAACCTACACCCACTCGAGACTCATCAGTTGTACTCGAGACTCATCAGTTGTACTCGAGACTCATCAGTTGTACTCGAAAGATTAGCACCCTCCATCTGGAGTTTAAGTGTGTGTCTCACACGTGCTTTCGTTCACTGAGCCCATCGCGCGGTTGGTGCCTGGACAGGCGAAGACCAGGTTGCTGGTCTCAAAGCATGGAGAATCTCAGCGCGGCAGGCAGCGCAAGCGAAGTGGGACCCTTCATCTGGCAATGCTCAACGTGACAGGGGCTCTCCACCTCAGTGGCGGCCCTGACCCTCAGCATTTCTACATACATCCGGCGAATGTTAACTGAACATGGCAAGCAGAGGGCCCTTTTATCCGGCGGCCAGAACATCACACCCCAACGAGTCACGATGGCATGCTACAGCAAGCCAGGTACCTTCTGGACTTCAATATGTAACCACCAGTCTCATCGCCCTCGAGGGCGCAACCAACAGACTTGTTTGTCCAAGAAATGCCCCGCTCACAGCGGTGAATTCAATTGCCTGTGCAGTTTGCCTGTGAACAAGGCACCGACCCAGCAGTGTCGTCTCGCAAATCCTGAGACCGCAGAAAACAGCAAGACTTGCTCCTGAAAAGGCTGGCCACAAATTGCTTTTTGGATATCTACACAAAGTAAACGAGGATTTACACAACCTGTTTTGACCCATGACTTTGTCTACATGATCTATAGCTGAAACCTATCATTCACAGCGCAATGCCCCTGGCGACACGAGGCTGCAATCTTGAACTTTTTTGGCAAAGCTGTTTATCTCTCAAGCCCTCACACTGGCATGCCAAATCTGCGAGTAGAGAGCGGTCAGGCGCAGAGAGGAGCAGAGCGGGGAGGGGGGGGAGGGGGAGAAGAGGGGAGGGGAGAGGAGGGGAGGGGAGGGGGAGGGAGGGGAGGGAAGGGAGGGGAGGGGAGGGAGGGGAGGGGAGAAGAGGGGAGGGGAGAAGAGGGGAGGGGAGAGGAGGGGAGGGGAGGGGGAGGGAGGGGAGGGAAGGGAGGGGAGGGGAGGGAGGGGAGATGGGGAGGGGGAGAGTGCGGGTGCAGGGGGAGGGGGAAGGGGAGGGGGAAGGGGAGGAGGGGGAGGTGTTGGAGGGACTGGGAGGGGGGGAAAATTAGGGTGGATGGGGGAGGGGGTGGGTGAGGGGGAGGGGGAGGGGGGGGAGGTGGGAGGGGAGGGGAGGGAGGGGAGGGAGGGGAGGGGAGGGGAGGGGAGGGGAGGGGAGGAGGGGAGTAGGAGGGAGGAGGGGAGAGGGGGGGAGAGGGGAGGGGAGACAAAGAGGGAGAGAGATAGGGGGGTCCCACCCAGCTTCACACATCCCGGACATCACTTTACTCATGTTCAAACCTCAGCCTCTGACTCATCTGACATCAGCTCGCCCCGGCATGCTGTCGGTGTTAGTCTCGGGCACAGCCTCACGTCTCAGTTCGGCTTCACTCAAAACTTGCGCCCAAGAGTCATCTCGGACCACAACCTTGACAAGACATAGCATGATAAATAAGGTGAAGAAAACACACGCTTTCTCACAAGCTTCAAGCTAGCTTGTCGTGCATCAGAGGTCAAAAGCAAGTTGTTTCCCCAATTGAAGCTTGTCCAGAAGAAATCATGTCTCTGAAGCCTGTTACTTGTGCCTACAGTCTTATCCCAGAAGTAGCTGGACTTGTTGGATCCGACCTTCTTGCCATCCATGGGGCTCTGGGCGCACGGGTTTGGCAGGCATACAGTCACGGATCTTTGAGAATTTCACATGGCGTAGGTGGGGGCCAATGCTTATAGTTGTCAAGTCTCCCTGAAAGAAGAAGACCAGCATTTGTGCCATGGCCCCATGGGCGAGTTCCATGAGGGATGTTCATGACTCTTTTGGAAAGCCTGGAGTGAAGGTCTGAAACACAGTATGTCATGCTTGTTACCAATAGCAATCGTTTGACCCCTCCTCGGTTCATCAAATGTGCACTGTAAAGTCCAACCGGGTGCAGCACCATCAGTCTGAGGTAACTTTCCGGCCAAATACAACAGTCTGTGTGATGCAGGACGATTTCCAATCGGTGAGCGAAATGCTACCTTACGTGCAATTGTACGGAGGGATACCGCATTTGACATCAATCTTAAGAATACCTCGAGTCCACTTGGGCTGCCGGCGGCAAGCAGGGTACAGGAGGGTCTGGAAGGAAACTCGTCGTACTCGACTTCGTCGATGACGTCCTCGACTGCATGGAAAGAGATGACGGCCCGTGCCTGTTTCAATCTCACCAAGGGTACCTAGAAAGGTGGAGAGAGGCAGCCTCCGTCTTTTGGGCAGCTCACCAATCATGAGTTCGGACAAGTAAACACTTGCCAATACTACGGGCATGGACGACCCAACGTCGCAAGCAGCGCAGATTCACTAAGTTGAGGTCGTGGACAGTGTCGTTGTGGTGGTAGCTGTGGAGGTCGTGTTTGTCGAGGTGGTGAACCTCAGCTGTGATGGGCCAAGGCGCTATGACAATGACAGGGGGCTCCAATTTCCAATGAGAAATGCTTGGTTGATGTCATTCTCTTGTGTGCTTGTTCAAACCAGAGGCTACCACTGGACCACATTGCGACAATACACCTCCTGTCCCCTGCTCGCGAAAAAGACTCTGAATTATCGAGGAAAACCATCCTGACCCTTTCTGGCCATCCGCTCGTTTCGTCCGAAAGGCGTCATTGTGGTGACGGAGGAAGAGGTGGAAGAGCTGGTGGTGCTGGTCGTTGCCAGCGTGGTGTTGCTGTAGCTGGTGCTGGAACTGGAGGTGCTGGTGGAGGTCCGCGGCCAAGGCGCGGTGCTGGTGGTGCGAGAGGTACTGGTACCTTACCACATGAGAGCTGAAGAATGGAAATCAACCACACATCCCCCAAAAAAGAACAACTTTGGGGGGGGCATTCCAAAAAAAGCCGTCCGCCAGACTTCTGACTCAGCTACCAGTGGAGCTGGTGCTGCTGGTCTGCGTCACGGAGGTGGAGGTGACCGAGGTGATGGTGGTGGTGGAGAAGTACGACATGTTCCACCACCAAGGCATACTTTGTGTGCCTTGATGCAATTGCGCACGTGCAAAACAATAAAGGTAAACAAAAATCATCAACGAAAGGAATCAAACAAAGAATAAAAGGGAAAAAAGAATGAAAGAAAGAAAGAAAGAAAGAAAGAAAGAAGGAAAGAAAGAAAGAAAATAAATATGTAGAGAAAAGAAAGAAAGGAAAGGAAAAGGAAAGGAAGAAAGGAAGAAAGAGAGAATTAAAGGAAGGAAGGAATGAATGCAAAAACAAAGAACAACATAACAAGCACACGCAGTACGCGAACGAAAGAAAACACACCAAATGAAAAGGACAAGAGCAGTGCAATCAAACAAACGAGCAAACCAGCAAGCAAGAAGATGGCAAATAGAAAAGCAAGCAAATAACAATCATATAATACAAATACACACACGCGCACACAAAGCCAATACACAGCCACACACACACGCAAAACACACACGGAGACACTTACACGCACACGCAAACACACTCATACAAAACAATACCGTATTGGTACTGCATCCCAGATGCTGGTTGAGGTGTACGATGTCGTGCTGATCGTTGTTGCCTCAGCTTTCGTTACCCAGTCTCTCTTTCTGGACTGCGGGCAGCTTGCGTTGCAAACTGTCATAAGGCACTTGGGTCACAGCACTGGTAGATGAGGTTGTGGTGCTGGAACTTCTGGTTTCTGTAGTTGTCAGCGTGGTTGTTTCCCACACCTCCAAAGCGGCTAGTGCAGCTCTCACGCTGCGCAATAACACAAACCCGCTGAAAAAACCTCACGGAATTCGGGGCCCGACATGATGCTCCACAACCTGCTTCAACACCACTGACCAAATGGGGAGTTATCAGGCAAACATCTGGCCCGAAATCACAGGTCAAGCCCTTGCGACAGTCAAGAACCCCGCGTAGTCGTAGGGCGGAGCTGTGGTGTACTTGGGAATCGCTGTGCTGACCGGCGGCAAGGTGGTGCAGCATGTGGCCTCGAGGCGCGGACGTGTTTTCGGCTTTGATTTGAGACGCAAAGCCCGCGGCCGGAATTTCCTGCTGGAAGCCAGGAATCGTGGTGAGAACGGTTCTGGTCCTTAGCCGTTCCCTGGTCCATGCCGCCAAAGGGCGCTTCAAGCAACATCATCGAATCAAACTGGCTTGCTAGACCTCATCCCAAGTAATTCATCGCTTAGCAACATGTAGGTGTTCAACATATCGTAGATGGGGGGTTGGACGCCTCCAAGATCAACTTCCCTTGTTGGCATGAGCCGCACATAATACATCCTGCTCCCCCTCACCGGGAAAAAAAACATGGAGCAAGCTAGGAGTTTCACTTCCTCTGACATACCAATAGTAGCCATGAATGCAGCCATGCTGGGGAGCCAGCGTCGTCGACGTCACAGGAGGGGGCGTCGGCCCTGCAGTGGCCCCAGTCAATCAGCCACAGCCAGCTTGAAGCCAGTTGGCAACCCCCTGTGAAAAAGGATGAAAACCGTCCAATCGTCTGATTTTGGGAGCAAATCAACAAACACGAGTTCACCTTGTCTTAGGCGACCCAGGACCAGGTAGACTGCGTGCAACAGCACCCCAGGTCGAAATCCATCTTGACACTCTGTCCAATCGGTGTTGCTGCTCCACCGTGACCGTCATGGCACAAACACTTCTCCAATCCGTCTGCTACAAAAAAGGCATGCTCTTGAAGGGCCACAATACTTCCCTCATCGGGGTGATACTCAAACTGCCACATACACCACCTGAGAGCCCGCTGACGACTCCCGGACAATCAGACCTCTGACAATAGGGCTGTCCTTTTCAAGAGTGTCCATGGCCGTTGCCGCCCCTCCCGCCCGCTGGGAGCGGAGCTAGCCGGCAGCTCCGGCCCATCTATGGTGCCTCAGGGTGGAAGTTGACAGCGAAACTTGGAGGGCTACCCTTGCTCGTTTGACATGCCCCTGTCCACATTCAGAAGTCTTGGAAGCACGGCAACCGCGAAGCGGCGTGCCAATTGCTATTGCAGCTGCTTAAGTAGCGGCATGCAACTTCAACGTGTGGTTAAACATAGCATAATATTCTAATGACATGCAAAGCTCACAAAGAAGCCTCCCGTAGCACCTGACAGCATGTGTAGATGGAGGCGGCGTATTTCCAGGACAAAGGTCATAAGTCCAACACGACTAACCCTTTTAACGTATGAACGTAAGACAACCAACAGCACATGGCGGGCGTCTGCATGCATCTGAAAACCTCACGTACTACCACCCCCCGCAATTGCCCGTGGTGTGGATGTTTGCTCTCAGGTTGCGAGGAGGTGCCTTCATCTTGGTGGCAAATCTGACAGTATCATTCTGCTCACTCATCGGGGTCGAATCATGCTGCATGCTGACAGCCTGATGAAGGGAGAATGGTCGGAAGCTGTGTATTCGAGCAAGGAGTTTCAAAACTGGGTCCACACCTGAAACAATCGAGCCTACTGCACTTGGAACAAGCAAGTAGCGTCTCTCCAGTCTTGGCGCCCGCATGGATTTGGGCTTTGGCTATGTAGAAACCTGTGGACGGGGTCATTGCCTAATTCTTGTTCCAGGGATGTTAAAAGGAGTCAATTACCTCTTAAAAGGTACTAAAAGGATCCTCAGACTTGCAATCATTTTCTAGTCCGGCCCGATCCACCTCTCTCCCCCGCCTTTGCCGCATCTTGCCACTCCAGCTGCATAAGGTACCCTGAAGTACCAAAGCCTCAGCAAGCTGGGCCAGCCTCCGTGAAACTCTGTCATAAAACCTGAAGCACCCCGGATGGAGGGGTGCGATGCATGGCCGGAAGGCAAAAGAGGCCGCTCTTGAGCCATCCAAACAGTCGCGCTCTTTGTTCTGCCTTGCATAGGCCTCAAATATTGCGAGTGAAGCCATCACAGGCTTTGACAACCCGAACATCTAAACTCTGCACATACTGACAATGCAATGTGCCAACAGCAAACCCCACTGATGCTAAGCTGGTTGACGAATTACTCATGGCAAATGCAAAAAGAATTCACACCGGTTACTCCCTCCGGACGTGTGCACAGCTCCCGGGTTTCAGAGCTGGCGAAGAAACTGGGGCTGCCCGGCTGCAAGGCGTTTGGGCAGAAGGGGCCTGACGACTTCGCGCGAATTTCAGGCTGCCTCCGACTGGTAAGGGAGCCATGAGGATCCAAGTGCTGTCTGAGGGTTTGAGGGTCACTTAATTTAGAGGGCAAAGCACCTAAATAGCAGCTATACAGCTCCTCTGGAGGGTCAACCGAAAGTTGTTTCAGGCCTCCGACCGACCTGTAGAGTGGCAAGCACGTATACATAGTCCGCTTTGTGCAAAAAATGCAAACGGCACCCTCTCCCGCATCGACTCAATCACTCGACCCTTTGGATCTGCTCACTGCTGATTGAGCCAGCTGCCAGCCAATTAAAAAATCCTTCTCACACATTTTTCTTCCTGCCATGTTTGGGCTCATGGGACAAGCTTGCCATTCGCCAAAGATATTTTTATCTTTTGAATCTGTCAAGCCAAGCCGGTCAAGCCAACACGCAAGACTCTAGGCTCCCTTTTTGTGACAACCCGGCATGACTCCCTGGCTGTGCCTGTGGTTCTCAAATAGTCGTACCTGAGCACCAATCTCACAAGCAACGTAGACCTCCTATTGAATTTATGGACAACACAACACTGCGATAGGGACTCTTTGACCATGGCACAAGTTTACGAGCCACACACTGTGACTGCTGGGAATGAAGTCATTTTTTGCATATTGAGTTGCAGCCACGGTGCTCAGCGAAGTTGCCGGCAGCGCCCACAATGAGCAAAACCCAAATGCACTCCCTCAAGCCAGGCTGATCGTTCACCTGCACACACAAACCATGCAGAGTGGACTCCAAAGGGAATAAGGCAAAATGAGGCACTGGCCTTGACAAAGGGCATCGCCCTCACATTCCCAGCTCATGACCAACACCCATGAATGTTCCGGAATATGAAATATACCGTGAATCATGAATATTTGTCTGTGGTTGCTGTAACTCATCACTGCCGTCAGCACATGCTGGCCGCATGTTTGGGAAACTGCTTCACTTACTTGACAAGCTGGGGAGATTTGGGGTGGGCTGAGGTTAGGTTTGCAACCGAACATAGCTTGGCCTGGCATCATAATGCCACCTGTTTGCTTGGGCCGAAAGTCCAAATATAGAGATCCATCCACCCGTTTTGTCCAACAAGCGCAAATGTTGCAAACTTACACAACAAGTTCAGTCTATTTGAAGCAAGCAATGTTCCGTTTTCTTCTCGCATTGCGAGAGAGGCGCAATACAGCATGGATTGTGCGACTCATCGACATACAGGACCAAGCGATTGCTAGCACTTGCATTTGAAGGTCTGCAGTTGCTGACAAAGCCCGGCAGATCCGGCCCGATTGGCTCCGGCGGCGGGCGGCGCAAGTCTAAACATCATCTGACTGGCTTTGCGGCTGCGGGGCAAACGCTGTGGGGGGCCCGGCTGCAGCTTTTCGGGGTGGTAGCCGCCAAGCGCAGAACTTGGCGTTTGGGGTAGAGCAAGCTGCCATCTACACCAGGGATGATGCTGATGAGCGGCATGTGAACCCCTAAGTGGCCAAATTGTTGGCAGCCCAACGTCGAGGTGTCAGTAGCGCTGCTCTTGTGGCATTTAGCGCCTTATTGCAATCGCATGTCATCATGTTCAAATCGTGCAACGCAAGCGGATGTGACTGAACTCAAATGAAATCTCCACATGCTGCCTTCAAATTTGCTGTGTTTGATGCATCTACTCAGGACCTTCGCACTCTTATAGTTTGGGTTTTCACGCGTGTGAAGGCATGACCCACTGGGAATGACCCACACGCTATTCGTCTTTTCCCTTTTCCTCAGCTTCTCAGGCCTCAGCTTAGGCCTCGCCAAAAGCTCAACTTCGTCTCACTATTTTCGTCCTCCTAGGTCGTTGCCTTCACGACTTTCCTGTTGATCTCGCTCTTTAGCTTCATCACGATGAAGTCCCATAGCCACATGACTAGGTTCAAGGCTCCAACGCTGGCCAAAATGGCCAACGCCACACCCACCACTGGTCTCCATCGTCCTTGCCCTTGGCTCGTCCTCTTCAAAATGTTGGCGAATGTACAATAAACCGGGGATTTCTGGCCCGCCATATGTCTGCTGACGCTCGTGGGAATGGCGGTACCTGGACCACCTTCTCATGGCATTTCTGCTGCAACCGTGTGTGTGTGTCCTCTGATGAAGAAGGACCAGACGTGCCGAAGGAACAGGCCCTCGATGCACCTGGAGACCATGGCCACGCACTCGCCCTCACCACTAGAGAGCGATATGCTCCTCTCTCTTCTGCGGGAAAGCCCGCGACGCTCTTGCCTTTGCCTCGACGCCGTGCATGTCCCTCGTGTCCAGCATGGATTTTCCGCACTTGCTGCCCTGAATGAGCAACCTGGAGTACACGCCGTTTTTGTCGGTTTTGACATCCATGCTGCCAGGGCATTGATTACACGCCGGCCGAACTGGGAAACGCACAACACCTTACCCACGATTGATCTGAACTGTGAGCATGTCCTCTTGCACGCGCCCCGACGCCCAGTTGATAGCGGTCGAAGCACCGGCGCAAGCGCGTAAGAGCCTGAGTGCCAGGAGCCAAAGGCAGTTGGGGTTCGAATCCCGTGGGGTGACCAATACCCTCGACAATGGAGTCGTATAGTAGTGGTCGTTGTGCAAGGGGGTTGTAAGGTAAATGCTCTGCGCTGTCTCCCGACTCGATGCGACGGCGGAATACGGACCTTTTGCTTTGCTTCACAGCTGTATATTGGGGAGCCAAATGCAGTCGCATGTACATGTCGGCTGCACACAAAACAACGTTTCACCAAAGGTTTGAGGGACCTTAAAAGAGGGGAAAGAACAGGGTGACCCTCGAACCTGCCCTTAGGATGTTTCAGCCTGCGGCTCGGAGATTCTTAGCGTCCCCCATCCCGGGCTTGGGTTCATCCCTGGGTCGGGAACTAATCACAAACGCATGCCGACACGCATGAACACACGGCTTCTCTTTTCTTCAATTCAGTGAAACGTCTTTGCGCGCTACAGGTCACGTACCGGACCTGATTGCGCAACGGTGCACATGCAGCAAGGCAATTGTACAGATGCAGAGCAGTCTGCTATCCATGACTAGCATAGTCCATCACCAATCTGTAACCAGTAATAATTGTAGCATCAAATAATCATTGACCACCCGATGACGACACTGTACGGAAACAAGAAAACATTCTGCGCAAATGCAAGTCTCATGCAAATACTCTTGGGTTGCCCATGGTACCGCGCACGACGAGTACCGCAAGGGCTGACCATGATACCACGCACGATGAGTATCACGATCCCATTGTGTAAAAGTGCAAATCCC